ACAAGTCTTTCCAGGCCCCCTGCTTGTATGTATAGGTCTGTGTATATACACACACATACAAGTGGAGCCATGGAAGAAACTTGCTGAGAGGGGACGTCCCATACCCTTTGCCTTTGCTTCCTCAGCTCTGCTGCATCCCTTCTCTGTCACTCTTCCCCTTTCTGTCTCCTTCCCACCCCTTCTCTGTTGCTCTTCCTTTCCTCCACTCACTGGGCTGCTCCTATGACAACTCGGGCTTTTGCCCCCTTATAGCACTGCTGCTTCAGCACCTGGGGTGCAGCTATGACTCCATGCCCCCTCCCCACCCTCCTCTAGCGCTGCCACCTAAGTTGGGCCCAGAAGGGGGAGCATTGCTGTTTCAGCAGCAGGGATGGCTGGGGACATGGGGAACCCGAGAGACCCAGGTTTGAATCTCCCCTCCTGCTATGGAACCATACAAGTCAGGTATACCTGGGTCAGGTGCACCTCACAGGGGTTTTGTTGTGGAGATAAAATGGAGGTGGGAAGAACAATGTTGTAAACCAATATGTGTCCCCATTGGGGAGAAAAGCAAGTTATAAATATAAAATACAGGTAACATTGTGGTAAGATTAGACTTTGCAGATGGCAAAGTATAAATAATAAAAAAAAAGTTTGGCTACTCAGTCCATTCACAAATTGTGGATATCTGCCATTTGCTATAATTTTAGAAGCTAATAATCAACACAACAGTGTGTTCCCTTCCTTTGTCCCCTCTCCTATAAGAATGTCTACTTTCCTTCTATGGTTAATTATAGCCATGGTATAAGCTCTACATCTGCATTGACTCTAATTGTAGTTTACACAAATCAGATCCCCTTGTGTAAGGTTTGCAGACTCTGAGGTCTAGGTGTTGCCTCACTTTAAAATTTGAGAAAGGAACAGAGTAATACAATAATAAATCGATACATTCTTCAGTATTCTCTGGGGTCCCCTCAATGGTTGCTTTAATTCTTATGCGGGGGGGGGGGGATTCACAATAAGAAAATATCAGTGGGACAACACAGGAGAATTCCGTAAACTACAAATTTATAAGTAAAGTAGTAACACCTACTCTGCAATCCTAGGCAGAGTTGCACTCTAAGCCGATTCCCCTCTGTAAATTTAGAAGGGTGCAACTCTGTCTGGGATTGCACAATTAATCTAGTAAGTAGTGACTTGGAACACTATTTTGTGTCATGCTTCCAGTGAGCTAAATAGACTGTGTTATTTCTGCACCAAGCTGTAGTATTTAATTTTTAAATGTATACCAAACAGGTCTAACTAAGAGTTGAAAATTGCCTTACTTTGGAGGTATTGTGATGTGGAGAGCAATTAGGGCAATTCTGTTTATCATTGGGACCTTATGACATTTATTTTGAAATAGAGCTCCTAGGGTATATTTTCTCCCCGTCTTCGCCCCATATCTGCAATATGACTGCTGCACGCAGAGCCTGTCAGAGACACAGCAACCTTCAGAACACTTCCTTGGGAGTAAGGCCCATTGAATAAAATGGGGCATAGCAGAACTGCTTACCATTGTTCCCACAGTATACACCTGGGGAGTGGAATAATGCTTGCAAAATACTGTACAGTTGTACTGAATTGTCCCAGAAGTACCAATTTGGAATATAATTATAAATTCTTAGAATGTGTGTAATACCCTACTTTGCCTCCAAGGTACTTGGTTTTTCAGGAAATTGTAGCACTTTATCGAACTGGAATTTCATTATATTTTAAATTAGTAATTGACTCATATTAACACATAATTTTTAACTACTCAAAGCAAGTAGATGATCCCTTGAATAGTAAAACTGAAAAATGGAAATGCATTCTGTATACCTGTTTTGGAAGTGGAACCCCCCCCCCAACATCCCTTTGTAATATATATTTTCAGTGGGTGTTTTGTTTGTTGTTTTCATTCTGAAGGTTCCTAACTATGCGGTGCAAATACTACTTTAATTCTTTGTTAAGTCAGAGGTCATTTTCTGGAAAAATTGAGTTTGACCACAAAAATGAAAAACTCTCAATTACAGTAAGTAACTTTATATTTTCATTATGGATTAATTTGCAATGATTTATCTTCTTCTTTGGTTGCTGTTCAAAGTTTTTTTCCAGTTCCTACAATGAACCAAGCCTGGCAGTGAAATGGTGTAGTGGAAGAGCAGCAAGAGTGAATACCCAGTCATATGGAGGGCCCAGTTCTCAGGATGCTGCTAGGCTTTCCATAATTACAGGTGCTCAGACATTAAATGGAAGCAAGATAAGCATCTAGGAGAGATTTCACCAATCACAGAGAGTTTTATGGTGCCCCTGCCCCACATGACTGACAGATGTTAGCCAACTGCTTCTTAGGGCTAGTCTATCCTGCTTTGTCTGAGCTGTTTTAAGGAGAGAACAGATACTGACTTTTATTGAGATACTCTCCACATCTGTGTTTGCATTCTCAAATGCTCAACTTAAAAGCGCAAGCAGCTACAGTGCTGTTATATTGTAACAAAGTAGGACAAGCTTAACCCAGTTCAGTTATTTTTATTTTAGCTGGTTTAGTCCCATTGGGATAAATAGGTCTGAAACTACCTTCTCTAGTTTACATGGGTAGTAGCTTTTTAAACTTTGACTGACCAAAATGTTTTTTCCAAGACAATGGCTAGTATATTCTGCCTCTTGATGAACTTTTTTTTTCTTGCTGGTAAATGAGGAATGTCCTATTAAACAACTGTATTAATTGAACCATTTTTAAATTAGTACTGGAATGTATTTCTTTGATTTCAGGTTTTCATACAGCTCAGGATTTAGTTGAGTTCTTGAATTGCTCATGTCATTTTCTTAACTTGGAAAATTGTCATGATGGTTATAACCTGCAGGTGTCCTCACACTCTCAAGAGAGACTCTAGCCGCACTCAATTAATTTTACAAAAATATGTTCCTTACTGGACTGTAAATGACAGGCACACCACTTCCTTCGGACACTGGGGTTTTATAGCTGTTCAGGCTGTAGTGATTCTGCTTTCTTTATTCATTCATTCATTTCTTCATTTACTTACTTGTTTCATTTATATCCTGCCTTTCCCCCCCAGTGGGCACCCAAAGCAGTTTACATCATTCTTCTTTCCATTTTATTCTTGTAGCAATAAGCATGGAAAGTAGGTTAGGCTGAAAAGTATGTAACTGGCCCAAGGAGACACTCAGAAAGCTTCCATGGTAGAATGGGGATTCCTAATTTCTGTGAGGCTGTCTGTGTTTCTGTTATTTGCCTGCACTATTTGCAATTCAGCAAACACTCTCACTGTGAAAATATCATTCATTTTCAGAATGTTTTCAGGAGCATCACTCCTCTATCACTAGTTTAATTATTTCAATCTAGAGAATGAATGGTTGCAAAGATGGATGAAATCAGTTCCACCCAATATTCATAACTATCACCAACAAAAGAGGCCTGTAGGATTTGACTTGCCATGTAAAGTATGGAAGATAGCTAGAATACGAACAGGCTTTGGCAGTTGTGCAGACCTGCTGTTTAAATGGGGCAAAATACTAGGACCCGAATGCGATTGTGGTGCAGCCTGCCAAACTATTTTCCATCTGTCACAGGAATGTGAGCATCGTGCTTTCCAGGGGGATGCGACAGAGATCTTTGTACTCTCCCCAGCTGCAATTGAATGGATTGAAAATTTAGATATTAGTATTTTAGATAATTGCCCCATCTGTCTGCATAACCATTGTATCTGCTTGGTTACATATTTTATATTATTATATGCTTCCTGTGTGTAACTCTGCCATACAATTTAGTTAACATAAATTGTATCCATATATGTCATTAATGGCTTATACTTCAGGACACCATGAAATGAAGTGTGAACACTGTTTTCATTCAAACATAGCCGTCTTTTGAAGTATTTGTTACATATCTATGAATAAATTAATGTCCCTCATTATGATTACTTGTGATAATCGTGCTCTCTGGATGACCCACATCCTGAGATTGATTACTCCTGACCACATTTGAAGGCAGGCCTTATGGAAAGTTATTCTAACCCTCCAAGAAGGAAGAATATCTTCCATACACAAATCATGTCCACCTCTGTTGAGATATAAAATAGGCTTATTAGGATCTCCAACACATAAGTGCTGCAGTGGTGGTGCTGAGTCCACCATGAATCATATGGAAAAGAGACCCCGTCATCCAGCCCAAACTGCATGCTGAGTCAACGTTTTCAAAAACAAAATAGTGAGGTATACAATAAGGAAACAATAAATGAAAAACTCTGCAAAACCTGTGTCAAAAATAGTTAAACTAGGGACAAAAAAGGGGGAGGGACTTAACCCTGAAACCTAGGATCAAGAACCTAAAGAGGTAAGTCAAACAGATAAAAACCTTAATGTGTATAATATAAAAAGATACATGTATTTATTAGCAAAGAATTAAAAAACATATAAGGGCCCAATCACACCTCATGTAAAAATGCCAAAATCTAACGAGAACCAGTGGACTTGACCGGACGCATTTCAGCCTGTATAGACATTCTTCAGAGGTCAAACACAATGAGGAACAAGTTGGCTTATATCATAATATAATACAATTAGACAATTATGCAACATGGATACAGAATGGACCAGAAAAGAATTGTTCCAAAGTGAAACCACTAAAGTAAAAATGAGGCCTCCAAAGATGCAATCACACGCCAAATGATATTTCACTGATAATAATTTCTGGTCTAGAAAGTGCCTTCCAATGATTGTTTAGTTCAAGCCAAAGCATCCTCAGTAAAATTGTCCCTTTAGCAAAGAGGCATCCTGAAGATATTTGACCTTCCCAACTCTTTTCAGTTTCTTTTTAACTAATCACCATATTTGAGAATTTGCCCCTTTTGAACTTAAATGTGGCTATGTTGGACTTCCATGCAACTCGGTAGCTCATAGTCAGTGTTCCTTAACAGTTAAAAACTTCTTTTACCTTCTGCTCCCGTGAAGTCCATTCTGTGTGTGTGTTTCTAAACAAATAGAGCCATTTTTCCCCAGCCAGTATACATTTGAAATGGGGAGAGGATCCCTCTTCAGTACATAAAGTGGAATACATAGAAGGAGTCACCAAACACAGGATCCCTTCCACTGCATGAACAACAGATTCCCTCACAATGTGAATACACACTGCTATGCTAGAGAAATAGTCTCTTTTTTGGGAATATGTATTTTTTCAGCTAGTTTCTAATAATAATAATACTTCTCTTTCTTTATAAAACTGAAGGTTCAACCTGGAGAGGGAAACAAGGCCGCTCTAGATGACATGAAGTCTTTATCGGGGGGTGAACGTTCCTTCTCTACTGTGTGCTTCATCCTTTCCCTGTGGTCAATTGCTGAATCTCCTTTCAGATGTTTGGATGAATTTGATGTCTTTATGGTACAGTTTTAATGTGCTCATTCTGATGCTTAGTCTAGAAATTGATATGCCACTTTTCTTCCATCACAAAACTCAGGGTGAAATATATAGAGTTACAAGAGGTCTGCTCTGCCGAGTATTCCCAACCTGTACTTGCTTACCTTCAGAAAAGTTGCCTTTCCCCTGGAACTAAAGATTGTTTATAAGTTATACTAGTCTGCCATCCTGGAGAGTTGCCGTCTACCTTGGCTGTGGCAGCTTCCTGAGACGTCAGCACCTGTTCATGAAACTGAAATCCTTGGGATGAGTGGCAGCATCTTTCATCTGTACTCTCCCTTCAAGCTCATAAACATCCTATTAAACACACAACCCCACATCCATACATACTAAATGTAGGCATGTATGTTGCCCAGCAGAGCTAATAGCTTGGGAGCAGGAGGGAAAACTATGCATGGAAATGGGTTTAACCCTCCTCCTATGGTGCTGGTCCAAGCAATTGGAGCCTTCCCCACCATGGCTGAAGATTTCAGGAGATTCACTCATGGCTCTCATGGTGGTCCATCACTACATCGAAGGGAATCCAGAGACATTGCATTCCCCCTGCCCTGCACCATTGGATCCCCCACACCTGTGTTCTTTGCTTTGGTCTTTGGATCTCAGCTCTGTGCTACAACATGTTATGTATTTAAACTTGAATTAAATTTGTTTATATGATGAGATGCTTCATAATTTTCCTTGTATCGTATAGGATATGATTAACAGAAGAATTGCAATGGACATGATGCTTAAGATGGCAGATTCTCAACGTTATCGTCAATTTATTTTGCTCACGCCACAGAATATGAGGTAATTTGTTCATCTGTTTTTCTGGCTTGAAGCAAGTAACTGTGAGATGTCAGCAGCAGTTCTTTTCATGTGTACTGCCTAGGATTTTAGTAGTGTTTTTCCCCTTCTGTGTCCCACTGTACACATCTTCTATACTGCTGAACACACTGGTTTTTAACTGGAAAACCCAGAAACATGATATAATTTAAATTTGCCTCTTAAAAGCTTGCAGCGTGTAAACGCTTGCTGGATGAAGTTTAATAATGTCAGTGGGAATACTGAATCAGGGAAATGAAGGGGTATAGAAAATTAAATTGAGGCTGTAGAAATCTTTTTCTTTGAACGCAACTTTAATTTTAAAAAGGAAGTATCAAATAGGGTCCTAGATCCAAGTTTGCTCCTGCCACCCCCATGTAATATGATATATTGTACTCCAGTGTTCTCTGGTCTACAGCAGTAGCGGGAATGTATATGCTCATATGTAGAGAGCTCTGGAGGGAAAATCTGCCTCTGAGCTTCCATTCACAAAATATAGAAAACAGATATAGAAAATCTATTAGATTAGATATTTAGACCAGTGGAGTATTGAATTCCAACGTATTCCTTATAATCAAGCCATAGAAAAATTAAACAAATTAAACTGTTGATTCTGTTTTGGCCAAGGATTGCAGCAAATACACTTTAACCTTCTTCTCCGTCTATAGCCCATCTATAAGTTTGCATCTTACCTTCCCATTCCACTGTATTTGAAAAAGTGTGTTTTGCACACGAAAGCTCATACCTTGAATAAATCTTTGTTGGTCTTAAAAGTGCCACTGGACTCTAAATTTGTTCTACTGCTTCAGACCAACACAACTGACTACCTGGATCGTCTTCTCCCTTGTTGGAGTTCTGATGATGCTACAAATCAGGGGTATTATCCCTTGTTTTATTTTTCCACTTCCATGGTGCTTCATTTAGAATGGGTTTTTTTTAGTATGCAGCCATTCCAACTGTGGTCTGGAGATATTGAGGGTTCTAACTTATGCCCCCTCCATTCATGAAGTTTCACAAGGGATCCCCTGCCAGGAATTGTCTCTCACTCCTCATGTCACACATGGTCATTGTCCTCAAGCAACCCATCCTTCTGGATCGGCAGAGGACCCTACATTCTGTGTTGAGTGCATAGCTGTTCAATGCTACTTTATGTGTCAGGGCTCTCTTCAACAGAGTGCCGTTTTTTCTTTGCCATGTCCCTGCATGTAGTTCAGTTGGGACACTTGTACAGAGCTGGCTGCTCTGTTATAAGACAGTTATGGGTGAAAGTCATTCTGTGACGCTAAGCACCCATTAAGAAAGTGGTCCTCTGTGGTCCCTTCCTTTGAGAGATTCACACCCACCTCCCTCACTCAGTGAACTTGCTATTCTCCCCATGTGGCACAGAAGCCATGGTAAGCAGTGGGGTACCGCAGGGATCAGTACTTGGTCCACTGCTTTTTAACTTGTTCATTAATGATTTGGAGATGGGAGTAAGCAGTGAAGTGGCTAAATTTGCGGATGATACAAAGTTGTTCAGGGTGGTGAAAACCAGTGAGGATTGTGAGGCACTCCAAGGGGATCTGTCAAGGATGGGCGAGTGGGCGTCAACATGGCAAATGGGGTTCAATGTGGCCAAGTGCAAGGTGATGCACATTGGAGCCAAAAATCCTAAATATAAATACACATTGATGGGGTCTGAACTGGCAGAGACTGAGCAAGAGAGAGATCTTGGAGTTGTAGTGGATAACTCACTGAAAATGTCGAGACAGTGTGTGACTGCAATAAAGAAGGCCAATGCTATGCTGGGGATTATTAGGAAGGGTATTGAAAACAGATCAGCCAATATAATAATGCCCCTATATAAATCAATGGTGAGACCTCATTTGGAATACTGTGTGCAGTTCTGGGCACCACACCTTAAAAAGGATATTATAGCTTTGGAAAAAGTGCAGAAAAGGGCAACTCGAATGATAAAAGGGTTGGAACACTTTCCCTATGAGGAAAGGTTAAAGCGCTTAGGGCTCTTTAGCTTGGAGAAAAGACGACTGAGGGGTGACATGATCGAGGTTTATAAGATTATGCATGGGAAAGAGCAGGTAAAGAAAGAGGTACTTTTCTCCCTTTCTCACAATACAAGAACTCGTGGGCACTCCATGAAACTGCAGAGCGGTCGGGTTAGAACGGATAAAAGGAAGTACTTCTTCACCCAAAGAGTGATTAACACATGGAATTCACTGCCACAGGAAGTGGTGGGTGCTACAAGCATGGACGGCTTCAAAAGGGAATTAGATAAGCATATGGAGCAGAGGTCCATCAGTGGCTATTAGCCACAAGGTATAGCTAGGGGTTCTGGGGCAAGTGATGCTCTGTCTTCTTGGTGCTTGGGGGGGGGGTCAACAGTGGGAGAGCTTCTAATGTCCTGGCCCCACTGCTGGACCTCCTGATGGCACTGGTATTTCTGGCCACTGTGTGACACAGAGTGTTGGACTGGATGGGCCTTTGGCCTGATCCAACATTGGCGTCTCTTATGTTCTTATATGTTCTTATGAAAATGGGGTTGCACTTACCTGTAACCATTGTTCATTGAGTGGTCTTCTGTGCAGGCACACATCCCTCCCTCCTGCCCCACTGTGAGCTCTCTGGAAACCTTGGCATCTTAGAGTCTCTGGCGGTGCCATGGAGAGAACTGAGAGAGTCGTTCCCCTCCTTCTGTCATGTGATTGTTTGGGTGGGAAAGCACCAGAGAGAGGAGGGGCGCTCCTAGTCTATTAGAAAGCGTGGAAATCTTTTCTGCAGCTGGCCCATGCTCACTCAGTTCCCATGCGTGCCTGTGCAGAAGACCACTTGATAAACCATGGTTACAGGTAAGTGTAACCCCATTTTCGAGGTGATGCAGCAGAAGTCTATCTGATAGTCCTAGAGGTTGAGGTCTGTAAATTCTCGTTAGTAATCTACTAAAATTTATTTATTTACAACATTTGTATCTTGGCTTCCTGTCCAGTCAGATGTATGTACTAAAATCACTGTAGTATTTTTGAAACTCTTACAAGGGATCTGAAGTAGTATGCATGTACAGTCAATTTTAGGTTTGGAATAGAAGAACTCCTAGTCCATTCTCCTTCTCTGATGAAGCTTACAATCCCCCACATCCTTTTTTTAAAAAAATAGTTTCCATTCCAATTGGCAGATGCCAAGTATACTTGCACAGTATCAGCTCCTGCTGTATTTAAAGCAAGTTTCTGCAGCCTTTTGGTGTGAACTCCAAGGAAGGAGATTGCAGAAGCTCCCTATGGCATTTCCTCCAAAACTCTGAATGCCATAGGAGCCATGAGACAGCACCCATAAACTTTTGGTGCCTGCAGCTGGAAAGTGTACATTGTCACCATTATTCTGCTATTAGCTTGTGACAAGCCTGTAAATTCACTCGTGCAGAAATAAGAAATTGGAACATGAAAAAGCTCAACAGATGATAGCCGTTTTATGCCGCACTGTGCCCCATCACTTCACCAACTTTTCCAGTCAGGGATTGTTTTGTGGCTGCAAGCAACATTCCTTATCAAAGCAACTAAAAAGTTTAATAAGAAAATCTCAATTAAAGTAATGTCTGTACCATTTAGTGAGGATTTGCTCATCAGTTTAAAGTGTCATTATCAGTCTAGTTAGATCGGAAATGGAGAACTAGCATGGTTGAAGGGTAGGAGTTGCTCAAGGAGAAACCATGATTTGATTACCTTTGTTCTGTTTTATAATAGTTCCTTGCCTACCAGTCGCTTTATTCGCATCCTCCGAATGCAAGACCCCGAGAGAGGACAAAACACACTGAATTTCCGTCCTAGAGGTGAAGAAGATGAAGATGAAGAATGAGTACCTTAATTGTGTACTGCACATAATTGTCAACTTAACACATGTTCAAAGTTTTGCACTAGTGCAGCTGTTTTGTTTGTAAAAAGAAATGAACAGAAATTTATTATTCGTGGAAGCAAGAGACATGCTGCTTTTATTGTTCCAAAGGTATTACAAAATACCAGATAGTAGACAATAAATAAATTTTATATAATAACCATTCTGAGATATTATTTAATAATGGAAGAGGTTTTTAACACCTATAATATCAAATGAATAAATTCTTGCCTACGATTCCTGCAATATTTAATAAATGGCCACTCTTTTCTGTGGTATACGCAATATCCCATACTGATCAGCTTTTCTGGACTCTAGCCACGTGTATCTTAGCTCCTACAGGTATACTGATGGTACTTAATACATCTGTCACTTCTTCATACTGTTATGTAGCAACCAGCCAAAAGCTTTTAATGTCCAGAGGTGGTGCTTTCCTGTGGAAACCAACCTAATTTGAAGTGAGGTTGGTCAGGAGTCAGGACCCATGGGAAGGAGGGCTTTTTCAGTTGCTGTAAACAAACTCTGGAAGTGAGTGGTTGCTGACCTTAGAGACCTTCTGAACTAAGCTGGACATGTTTAAAAAGGCCTTTGAACTCAATTGACTGACTGTGAGAGTTAGATTTAATGTAACTGATGTTTTTGTGTGTTTTAAATTATTGTTGTTTTAATTTGTAATTTTATTAAGTTCAGTTTTTATTACTAGGCGCCTGGTGGGCATTTTAAGACTAGATACAAGTACACACTCATACAAGTTGAAAAGAGCATTCCAGTTATACACTTTCATTTCAGTGATATTTTAAAGTCTCTCTTACTAAAGCCATAGCATAATATAAATTCTAGCAATACTTTCTGATTCCTTTTAGTCAGAATTTGTTCTTTTAAAATTAATTGCACAGGTTCTGTTTCTCTCCAGTGAGTTCTTCTAATAAAATCTATTGAACAACAAACTGGAGCTTATAAATCTAATTGAAATCAGTATCAGATGATCTTAATGCGTTGTCCTTCCTGTGTTCCATCTGTGTGCCCTCTTTGCCAATCTGGAATGCTTTCTAGTCAAGTTCACTTATTTCCATTTATTGGGTTGGATCCAGTGGTAGATTTCCACGAACAGATGTTTGTTGCATCCCTCTTCCATCTCAGATTCACTCTCAAGCTACTCCTGGGGTGTCCGGTGTCCCCCAGAACCAGCATTTTGGGGAGCACTTTGAGCTGCACCAAGATAGTGGGGGTGAGAAAGTCCCTTCCTGCTTATGAAAATCCACTGGAGACAACCCATTATTTGTAGGTAATGTAAAGACAAACATTACATTAGGTAGAAAATGCTCCTTGACAGTTTGTGAAGGTCTATAAGGGAACATATGAGGAGAATTCTCATTAGGAGTTCTTCCCCTCTCCCCACCATGAAACTGCTGACTTCTGGGATTTGTACTTTCTGATCACCTAGGTGTACAGGGAACTGCTCATCAGGCTCTTACCCTGAGTTCCACAGCCAAAGACAAAGGGATTTTACCTCCTCCCTCTGCTGCATGGGAGAGCTTGCATAGGGTGTGCATCTCATTCTCCTTCACATCAGGGGTCTGAGCAGGCCAGTTTCTTAAGAATATAAGAGTCCTGCTGCACCAGGCCAATGGTCCATCTGGTCCCACATCTTGTTTCACATAGCGGCCTACAAACAAGATAATGCCTCCTAGCACTGGGTTTCAGAGGTTTACTTCCTCTGGAGCATCCTTCCCTTCCACACAACTCCCTGTTGCTGCTCCTGTCTCCAGTACACCCCTCCGTGGCCCCTCCCAGTCTAGTGCCAGGAAGCAGCTCTCCCTCCTCCCACCCTCTCCAGTCCTGGGACGCTGACAGTGCCGTCCAGAAGGGCTACATGGAGGGCCCAGGAAGCAGTCACTTGCCTTGTCAGCAAGATTATTGCTGTGGATGGCCAACTCTTCCTTGTGGAGGACATAGCCTTTCGCCAGCTGCTGCAACATCTGGCTCCCTGGTACTCCATCCCCTCATGGAGGACCATGAGCTGATAAATCTTGCCCACCATGCACTGCTCTGTCAAGGGTGAGCTCTTCAGATCGCAAGGCAGAACCATGCACTCCACAGCATAACTCTGGAGGAGCCAGCAGCACTGCTACCTGTCTGGACTATTGGGGTACAGCCCAGGCCCCAGAAGGGGGCAGTTCCATTGCTACATAGTTGTTCTGCTACATGTGCAGGGATTGGATGCAGACCACACATCACAAAACATCACTGCTGTGGTAAGATTAGTGGGAGTGGGTGTGCGGCAGCAACACTGTGGCTACATGGTTACAGATGCCGGCACTAACATTCTGGCAGCAGCGAAGGGTGCACACCTCAATGACGTAGTCTGCCTGGCGCACATGCTTCGGCTGGTGGTAAAGAATGCTCTGAGGCTGGGGAGCACTTTTAAGGCCACCTGGGATGCAGGCCTTGCTAGGGATCTGGTGCTGGTCACCCACTTACCATGCATCATCTAGTCTGCCCATCTGCTGCACAAGAGGCAGGGGAGGAGCCTGGACACTGGCTCATCCTGGATTTACCGATCTGCTTGAACTCCACTTGTGCCATGATTGCACATTTGGTGAAGCAGAAGAGTGTGGTGTAGGATGTCACCTCCATGACCATCCTGCACGGGGAAGAGGAGCTCAGCAATAGTGCCAATGGCTGCATGACCCTCTCCAAAATGGTGCATGTCTCAAGCCTTTCCAGGGCACCACCAACGTGCTCTGCACCCATGAGGCCAGCCTAGGGCAAGTCGTCCCCATGATTTAGGGCTGGACTGGGTGCTGGCTATGACGGACCCCTGCCTCTTCTTCTCTGTGAGGCAGATTTTCCCACCAAAACACTGTTCCTCACTCTGACTGAGCAGCCTCTTCATCACATATTTGAATGATAGAATTATAACTTTCTGTGTGTCCCGCCCTGTGATAGAGAAGTTATTTGGCTTCTGCCCAGGCCAGAGATTTATTGTAACTCAGTAGGAGCCCTCTTATAAATCCCTTTGGAAATAGCACTTGACACGGAGTAAAGTTCAAACAGAAAGGTTGGTTTTATTGAACAGGCACAGTTGAGTTAGGAATAGGGAAGAGGAGGAGAAGTTGAGGTAAATTTGGTTGTTTGTACAAATATTTTGAACAGGCAACAGAGTATAATGGAAGCTTATATTAGAGACTCAGTTCTTAACTGTGAGAGATTTGTTTGTCTTGGAGATTTCTTTCAGCAACAATGTGTCTTAATAAAGTTTCATAAAACTATCTTAGAGTGCGGTCACACATGCCAGATAACGCCGGGGGGGGGGAAGCGAGGCTATTTGCTCCGTGGTAATTTGACCCACCACGGTGTGATCAGACAACGGCGGGTGAATCGGGGTTTTTTGCTTCACTGCATGTTTCCGGTGTGCTTCAACAAGGGATCACTGACACAATGGGAACACACTGGAGCGATCACACGGGGAAATCCATCTGCGGCCCATCACAAATCCGTTTGATACTGCACTTTCCCCAGTATTTTTTAACTCCACTTCTTTGGCGGTGCAAAATGGGTTGGTGACAGGTGCGGGACGCCTGCCAGATGTTCCCGTGTGATTGCACCCTTAAAATCCACCCGGATTAGCCTATCACGTGGCTCATTCTGCGTGTGATTGGGACCTTAGTTTCCTGTACAGTTAGTACTTTCTCCCTGTATTTAAATACTTCCCTTGTAGGATTATAACTTTCCCTTTTTTATTCATGAGGAGTCTAAGACCATTTCCCTTTTTACACAAACCAGGGGTCCCTTCTGAGTTGAACCCTCTGAATAACTGGGTTAAGAAATATCCTCCTCTTTCTACGAGCGATAATCCTTTTTCTGTTTGGCTAGACTGACAGTTTTCAACCTCCTGTCCAGACTCTTCTGTAAAACCTAAACAGTTCTGGAGACTGTGAATAAACGGGATTCAGCTAGAGCTGGCACTTAGACTTTAAGTTCTATTTTCTGAACTTTTCCTCAGATGTGATGGTACACAGTAAGGGCAAGGAGTTGTGTCCCTTCACTTCCCAAGTGAACTTGTCTGTTTCCCTCAGACCGACACACACACTCCTCCTGATTGCCTCAAAAGAGTCCGACAAGGGAGAAGCCTCTCTTCTGGTTGTCGGTGGTGAAATGGGAGGTCAGCAGCAATGGGGTTGCCAGACGTGCAATGGCGGAAGATTCAGCAGAGGTGATGGTGAGGGAGTACCTTGATGAGTCCCCTGAGCTCGCTCCCACCAATCCCCTGGAGTACTGGAAATGCAAGGCTGCCATCTGGCTGAACCTCCCTTGCCCTCCCAACAGTGTCCAGACTCAGAGGGTGTTTTCCCATCTGGAAGACATTCTCAGCCCCCACCTGTACCTGGCCAGGGTGGGTGAGTTGGCCTTCCTGAAGGTCAACCTCCCCCTACTGGGCTACCCCTCTCTGGATGGGGCGTGTGTTCTACCATGTCAAGAACTTCAGGAACTGAACTAGTTCATCTAGCACAAAAAGGCTCATGATGGTCCATGGTTCGCGAACCACGCACACCATGAACCACAAACCAAACCGTGTTTTTGCTGTTCATGCCCGCCCCTGCTGATGTCAGTTTTCAGATGCATAATGTTCTTTCTGAAAGCACAGAATATCATAAAGGATTCTTGTATATGAGCAATCTACATTCTAGCCTTTTCTCCCTACACTCCCATTGTATGGTAGCAACTAACCTGTTTTTTCTTTCTGTTCTAGCTTCTCCTACCATTTGCCATCTATCAAGATCTCACAGTTCATTTTTAAAATTCTTTGTACTTTTTCCAGCTCCTAAAGGTCTCTACATACTTTAATCTTCTCTGTTTATTCCTAAATGATCTTGCAGTATTAAAACGTCCCTTTATAATTGTTTTTGCTGGCTTCCATATTGAAACTAAACTTCTCCTGCACGAGATTTGCTAAAATATAACTGCAGCTTTCTGGAAAGCTGTACCAAATCATGCAGCCAAAAGGTATCCAGTGAGTAAACTTATATTCTGGTTTAGACTCATTAAGTGAGCAGTCTTAAGATTTCTTTGGGTAACCACTGAGATGTTTCAAACTTACCCTGTTTTTAGATGGTTAGAAAAGTAAGTGGGGGGATACGTTT